CCGATCCTAGCTTGAAGTTGGCTTGAAATAGTTAATAGAAAAGTAATATAGGAAAATAAGGAGTATAATGCCACATTAAGTGACTAGTAATAGTGACACAAATATAATTAGAAACTGTATATCAATTGTTCTGTAAAAAGGTGTTAATCGTTTGGCAATATATATATAAAAAAAAAACCATTCTTTAAGTACCTGCCCTTCGCTTGGTCAACAAGTCACTAATATACTTTGCAAGAAAAGTATACATACTCCCTTGGTTTGAAACTAGTGATTCTTTTTTATCTCTACTGCCTCTTGCCAACCTTATCAAAATTTTTGCCAAAAAGTGGGCAATTTAGCTTACCCCCTTCAAAAGATTGGCATTGTTTATACTTTCTATTTTTAGATGGATGAAGTAGGACATAAACATGGAATTGTTTTGACAATGATGTACCTACACCATGTGACGAACCAATTGGTGCTCTAGTTAACGAACCGACCCAAACTGAACAGTAAAGTTGGAAGAGACTTAACAATAAGGCGAAGCTTTACAATAGAGATATACAAGAATTTTAAATTTAGTATATAATTTTTACAACTGTGCCTGGCACAGGCTATAATAGTATTTTTATAGATTGTTTTTTTTTCTGCTTTTTTCTTCTTGTTTCTTTTTTTCTTTTTGTTCGTTTTCTTTTTGCTTTGGCAGTTTTTTTTCTTTTCTTCTTTCGTGCCATTCCCTTTATCTTTAGTGTTAGTATTTTTTTTTTTATAAGTCAGTTGGAGACTATGAATCCTTCTGCTCGCAAAGCTAGGGAAAGAAGGTTTAAAAAAGATGGCAATCTTGATAGGCTGTAAATACCATTTAGTGATATATTAAAGAATTCATTTGCAGAGTTTTGCTAAAACTTGTAATTTAGATGGTGCTTTAGTTTACTTTAGCAAAAATAATATTTTACCTGTGAGTTAAATATTTTAGCCTAATAAAGTTGAACAAAAAAAAAAAAAAACTTGAGACATATAGGCTTGGACAATTTTGAACAATCTTAGATGTTGGACATTGGACATAGTATAGACACATCCCATATACAACACTGTCTATAGATATAAGAGCCAAGTAGTAGTACTATCCAAGCCTACTTATTTGTATAAGACTTAGTTTCTTGAGCCCTACCTTTACTCTAGGGCTTGAAATTTAGTACCCTAGCCTGGCTCTTGTGGGCCTACCTGCGGGTACCTATGGGTAGCCTAGGTCTATGCAGAGGCCTACTAGTCACACATACAACTTTTGGTTGTTTAATTGATGATCTGCCACTCAACAGATGCATGATCATAGTGTAATGTGATGCAGATCACTATATAAATCTAATACAGTCGTCTCTCTATATAGTCATCTCCCATATAATCACATCATATGTAATCACATTTTTATTTGGACCAAAATATAATTTAATTTATAAAAAAAAAACTCCATATAAACACAACTCCTCTATAAACACATTTTAAAAAAAGTTACTATGTGCCCAACTGTATAGGAGGATGACTGTATAGGGTAAATGTAGAAAATTTCTAGCATTCATTCAAGGAAAACATTTTTTCGTACTAAGTTAATCAACAAGATCAATTAATTGAAAGTTGTAAAGCTCATCATTGTGGTTCTAATGGTAGTTAAATCATTCAAATCGGCCTAGTGGATGATGAGATATCTTTAAAAAACATATCAACGACTATATAAAATCTCTATATAAACAATCTATTGTTTATATAGAAATTTTATATAGTCGTTGACACGTTTTTAAAGATATCTCATCATCCACTAGGCCGATTTGAATGATTTAAATGATGAGCTCTACAACTTTCAATTAATTGACCTTGTCGATTAACTTAGTATGAAAAATATTTTCCTTGAATGAATGCTAAAAATTTTCTATATTCATCCTATATTAGATTTACATAGTGATTTGCGTCACATTACACTATGATCATGCATCTGTTAATGGCAGATCATCAATTAATTAAGTAGTCCATCCAAAGCATTAGTACTATGTTAGAGGTTCTACACTAGGTGCTATATTTATAGCATAACTAGGAAGCTATTTATTTAATATATATAGATAGGTTAGGTTTTAGTTTGCTTATTTTGATCCTTTTTGTGTAGATTATTTTTATTTATAGTAATTAGTTTATTTATTTTTGACTTTTTCCTGCAGATCTTTCTATATTTAGTAATTTTGTAAAACCTTACCCTCCATATATATTTCAGGGTCCTGTTTCAACTAATGTTATATGTTTTCTCCTAATATATCCCTATACAAAGATAGCAATTTACTATTAAAGATCCTAAGACTTTAGCCAACCTATGGAAGGCATTTATTCTTGTAGTAAATCTAACAGAATAGCACATGTTCTATATATATACTTACCTGCAATTAATATATATTGTCTGCTATCATTGTGTTTATATCTTATATCATCTTTTAGAGTACTGCTATAACACAATCTGTATATCAAGCTCAATCTTTCTACTGTAATTGGTTACCTTTTGCCCTTAGAGTCACAACTAACCCTAATATTAACTTCCTTTTCAACTCATGAGTTTGGCTTCAGAGACAAAATCTTTCCTTTTTCTTGGTATACACTTTCAATATATGTGTTCTTTTTTTTTAGTGTGACTTTGGTAACCCAAATCTATAAAGATTATAATTATTGACCTCTGGTTGAGTTTCTATATTGTTTCCTATTTCATTATTCCCAATTCAGAACTTTCCAAGTGAGTTTTTTGTATAGTTAGTAATATGAACAGCTTAGCTTGGCTTGGCTTATAGATAATATTTCTAAGCCAAGCTAATTTTTCAGCTCTATAACCAAAGCTAAGCTATTTATAAGCTAAGCCGAGCTAATCCCTTCGGCTCTACAACCAGAGCTATAAGCTGATCACCCTTGAGCTGAGCTATTTATAAGCCAATTACCTAGCTGAGCTGCTAATTTGGTAATATGATTTCACAAAAATCTTGATATATATGTCGTACGTTGAAATGGAATTATTGTAGATTTAGAATCCACTTAGGTTGATTCCAAATCAACATAGGTTGAAACAGAATCCCAAAACGTATCCAAGTTGCTAAAGAATTCAAATTCAACTTAAAGTAAATTTATGTAGATTCTAAATTATTTTATCGAATGCGTTGTTTTGGAATTTAGGTTATTTTAAGATGTTTATTCATAAAGCATCAAATAGCAAATTAATTTATTTAAAAGCATTACATAGTGTTTTTACATTTATAATTACTAGGATAACAACTGCTACCACATGGCACATTTGCTTTTTTTACATTTACAATGATTTTTGTCACACAAACTTTTGCAACTGCATTTAATATTACCCATTTGAGAAGAAGATTGCATAAGTGATGCCTCTCAGGCTCCTATGAATGTTGAAGGAATGTTATCTAGTTCAGGAAATGTATCAGGATCCAAAGGAATTAGTTCATTAGCATTGTATGCAATTCTAATAATGCCGAATTTACACCCAAGTCTATACATGTTATTTTTTAAAACCTCAAAGATCTTGCATGGAAGCGTTTTTCGATCATTGTGTGTTCTATCAATATCAGGAACCTTTAACTGCACTAAATCTCCAATATTGTAGTTGTTTTTGAATTTTTTATTGCACTTAATAAGTTGTGATTTCATGTCATTATGATATCGTTCAAGAGATTTTGTAGCAACGCTTTGATAAATTTTATATGCTGATGTTTGTTGAATATTATTCCTATTTTTAGAGCGATGTTTAACTAAAAAAGACTGCAAGAATAAAATTAATTTATAATACATAGTAAATTAAATAATATGTAATTATATACCTGATTATTGGTACTTGTAGTAGTTGCTGTCAAAACAGAAGATTTATGCTTTTTGTTTCAATGAACTTCATGATCATTTTCAGGTAAGCTTCTACCAATGGCTTCAGCTTCTGATAATTCAGACAATGCACTTTCTTCTTCATCGGATATCTATTTGTAAATTTTATTAATTTATTATAAAACTTTTAATAAAATTATAATATTAAAAACTTACATTTACTATCGTATTTTCCTTTTCATTTAATTCTTTGCTCAATATTTCATCTGATCTTTTATTCACTCTTTTGCCTAACTTCTTATCTGACCTTTTATCTAATTTTTCATTTGACTTTTCATTCACTATGTTATTCCATGTTTCATTTAATTTATTTAAATCTTCGCTTATTTCGCTCATTTCATCCACCATTTCATCTAAATCTTCATCTATTTCGTCCACCATTTCATCTAAATCTTCACCTATTTCATCTATCATTTCATCTAATTTTTTATTCATCATTTCTTCATCCAAACTTTCATTCATCAATTCGTACTCAAGTGCTTGTTGCTCCTAAAATAAAAAATTTAAATTAATGTTGATTGAATTAAAAAAAAAAAAAAAAAAATATCACCTCGACATTTAATGCTGCGGCACCTAAAATTGACTCTACAACCTCTTGTCGATCAAAGTCGTCTTGAGGTTCAGATGGTTCAGACCAATTCTCTGGTAATTCATCTTCTGAGTTAATACGCTGTTTTTTAATTTCTTTCAATAGTGCAAAATAGCGCAAAGAGTTTTGTCCAAATACTAATGCATATGGACTACTCTTAGTTTGCTGTGATGTTTAAATATTCATTGCATCTATTAAAAATATACAGTAAATTAAATAAATTAAATTAAGCTTAATACTTAAATAGTGTTTTATAAAAAAAAAAAAAAACTTACAACAGCATAATGGAACTGCACAAGACCAATCCTTTCTTCCAGTATCTTCCATCCACTTAGATACTTTTTGCTAAAGGATATCATTTGCATATTCCACAAGCCCCTGACTTTGTGAGTGTCTTGGACAGCCATTAATAATATGAACATCAGGCCACATAGTTAATAATTCCTGAATTAATAATGCTGTAAACTCATGGCCATTATTAGACTGAAAAATAATTGGGGCACCAAAGCAAACGAAAACATCAAAAAGAAAAACAGCTACTTCAATTGGTCATTTGCTGGTTAAAGCTCGGGCCCATGAATACCATGTAAAGTGATCACATATGTGACAAATATAATGATAGTCACCATTAGGGATACTAGTCATAGCAATCAAATCTACTTGAACTCTGTTGAGAAAAGCACTAGAGATTATCAGCTTTGCAGCTACTGGATTGGGAAAATTTCTTCATGTTGCACATGTTGTGCAATTTTTTACAAACTCTTTGACAAAGGATTGTGGAATATAGCTATATTGTTCAGAGATCTATAAAGAAATTTAAATTAATATTATACTATATTTATTTTAATAATTTTACTAACAAATAGATTGCTTACCACATCCCAAAGTTTTGTCGAACCAACATGCTTCAAGACTCCCTAATATAAACTGCACAATATTTTATATAGCTTGTTGACAGGGCACACAGGTAGATTCAAATCAATTTTAATAAGTTGCAATATGGGATTGATTGGTGTTCCAAGATTACGTAAAGCAAATGTCTTCTTGGCTCAGTAATGATCTTTTGCATTTCCAATTTTGGTATTCATAGGGTCTTGTAAAACACTAATACAAAAGTCAAAATCTTCACATGTAATAAAAGTTTTACATCACCTACTAGCTGATTTGCTATCAAGAAATTTTCCAAGCAACTCTTCAAATGCATTGCACAATAAAAATGGGTACTCTTGAGGTTCGGCTATCAAAGAGAAAATTTTAAATTGAATAAAAAAAAAATTTTTTTTGAATGTTTATAAAAACTTTACATAATTTTATTATCTTTATAATACATAATATTAACTATCATAAACTATTGTATATAATGTTACTATCATTTATTAATCAATTACACATTTATTACACATTTATCATGCATCAATAAGTTCAGAATCAACTTAAGTAGAATCTGAATTTCAAATCAACTTAGGCTACATTTGAAATTCTGATTCAACCTAAGTGGATTCTAAATCCACAATAATTCTATTTCAACGTACAACATATATACTTAAGTATTTTAGTTTTTTTCTTTTCTTAATATTAACATGAATAATACAGATTAAATAAAATTATAGTAAAAACTATGTAACCAGATAAAAACCAGAGATGTATCGGGTTTTAATATGTCACCAGTTTTGATTTTTAATATTATAGTCCTATTAGGTAACTGATAAGACTATGATATTAACCTGAATATAAAATGTTAAGTGTAAAATATATTATATGATAATCAGAAATAAATTAAATAAATCTATAGAGCTATTAGTTAATTTATATGTATATGATATTTAACTTATAACACATAATATAAATAAAGAAAATCATACATATTATGATTAAAACTGATATATCTACTATATAGAGCTATCAAATAATTTATTGTTTGAAGTATAGCAGAAGACACTTAATTTCTATACAAAGTAATACAAAAGTTACACTTTTGATATTTCAAATGTATTTTTCTTGATATTTTTATAGTAAAATATAACTTTGAATTTTCTGTCTGTCTTC